GTCATTTTAATCATTGTTCAGTCAACTCCTACTTAGACAACTACAGTAGTATCTTATTTTCCCCACATCTGTGTTAACCTCCCTCCCGCCCATCCTCCACAGTGTACCACAGAGCTGTTCTAGAACACAAATCGACCCTGTCACCTCCAACACACGCAGATATGCATGTGTGCACAGGAAAACAGTCAAGGGCTTCCTATTGCCCTTAGGGTTAAGGCAAAAATTCCTTGGCTTGTGGCCTGGCCCTGTCAGCCCGTCCAGCTTCATTTCCCTCCTTTCAGACTTTTTAAATTGTCCTCTCTTCCTCCCACCTCATGGTCATTTCCTGGTTAACTCCCACGCTTTCCTGGCCTTTCTTTTGCATCCTTCTGTTACTGATTCTCGAAATCTTTTCTGCACCACACATATAGCAGTGCTATTTTACGCTGGTTTGGGACATTTTGATTAACTGTCTCCTTCCACAAGATGCTAAGCTCTGTGAGAACAGGAGCCACCTATGTTTATTCACCTTTGTTCCTCAGACATCTTCTACAGGGCCTGGCATGTAGGAGCTGCTCAGTAAATATTTATTGGACGGATGGATTAATTAATTAGTTATAAAGTAAGGTGACCACATGAAACCCTCCTTGATTCCCACTGTGTGCTAGGCTAGGGGAAGCTGGTGACCAAAAGACGAATGAAATACTTTTGGGGGAAGGGCATTATGATCATTTTCTTCCCCAATGTTTTTGAGTGAACAGTCGCCGGCCATCAGTGAAGAGCTATACTGAGTGCTCTTTGCTCCCTGGACTATCATGTGTCTCAGATGAACTGATGCAACTTGAGCTTTGTGTTGATTGATCTTATTTTACATAGGCCTGATGATGCCGACTAGCTGAGAACAAAAGATGAGGGCTCCCCCAAAGGTGAATCATTACCCTGGTAACCACTTAGAGAAATTTACAGCTCTAAGGATTGCTTTATGTACTGACAAGGCAAAGTTTGATTTAAACCCTTGGATACTAACTGAGCTCCTAAATCTTTAGCTTCCTACGTATTGGCTGGTATTTGTTGAGGCCAACAAGCTTATGGTCTCAACCATGTATGAAATATGTGGGGAGTGAGAGTTGTTTGTGTGGTGGCCTCACTTTTATGGAATTCACTGCTGATTAAAGTCCATAAAGAACTAAAACATGAAAACAGGTCACCTCTGGAATCAACTTATTCTGTTCACAGCTTGGCATCTTCAGGCCTAAACTTGGCTTATTTTTCTTGTTTCTCTCATGGAGGTTCAAGAGAAGAAATTGTTTTCTTTAAAACCACGTTTCTGTTCTCTCTCTTTTGCCATGTGCGTCATAGATGATTATTTGGCAAAGGAACTAAAATCTCTGATTGAGATGAGTTATTTATATGTGGATAGAATACATATACTTGATTTTTTACAAAAATATTCGCATGCTTTTATGAGTATGATATACACTCAATAGCTATCCTTTCTGAAATGGACAGTAGTCATCTGTCAATGGGGGTATAGCCATATTTCCAGCTCTCTCCAATTTTTGTCTCTTCTACCACTTTCTTTTTGCTTATTTCTCTTGCTCACCTACTTACTTAGTATATGTCCTTTCTACCGCCCTCTTTCTCCTTATTACGTTATACTCTAACACTCTCAACTGGGAAGTGATTAAGGAGGCAAGAGTGAAGAAAAGGACAGGACAGATTGCTCTACCTTCTGGTTTCAGGGCATTTTACAATGTAGAACACAGCAAAGTGTGCTTTTAGGACTGGTCTGAGTAGCATACAGATGTGGTTTCTTGGGCAGTGTCACATCAGAGGCCTCACAAGCCTCCTCTCTGCCTGTAATGCCCTGCCCTGCCTGTAATGTCCATACCCTAGAGCCATCTAGAATGCTCCTGTGACTTCCAGCTCTCAGTGTCTGTGCCAGGGGGTACTTTTATGTGAGAAGTATGCATAGCCTCACTGCCTGTGGCAGGCTGGAAATGCCAGGAAACAGACACCCCAGGAGGTACTTTCAACCATTGATTCCTATGGGGTTGGTGCATTAACACCCCAACTACCTCACCCGTGGGGTGGGATGATTCTGAGCCTATGTTTGGCCCCATTTTCCTGAGTGTGCCATGGATTTAGCTCTAAAGATTTTATTTATTTATTTGAGAGAGAGACACAGAGAGAGCACAAGCGGGGCAGAGGGAGAGGGAGAAGCAAACTCCCTGCAGAGCAGGGAGCCTGACACTGGGCTAGATCCCAGGACCCTGGGATCATAACCTGAGCGGAAGGCAGACACTTAACCAACTGAGCTACCCAGGTGCCCCCATAGATTTAGCTTTAGCTGCTTAATATTATGCCTTTAATGGCTCCAGTCTCTTCCCTGGTCACTTCCCCACTGGTGTTCACTGTGTTTCTGAAATGAACTGCTTGTACTCAAATTCTTGTCCTTTAAGAACTTAAGCTAGAACTGGGTGTTATATGTAAGTGATGAATCACTAAATTCGACTCCTAAAACCAGCATGACACTATATGTTAACTATCTAAAATTTAAGTCAAAATTTGAAAAAACAATATTTAAAGAGAAAACCTATCTAAAGCAAAAAATAAGGAAATAAACCTAACTAGGTATAAAGTTACTGGTATAATCACTTTGAGAAAAATTATCATGACTTTAAAGCACTGTATTTTGACTATCCACCCAAAGACAAAAAAATACCTGCAAAGAAGTTTTAAATTGAATTCAGTAGGTTTGTATTTCTAATATTATTTTGAAGCTATTACAGTATTTTATATGTATGTCATATTTAATATCTATGTGTGTATATTACAATACAATCAAATAAGTAATTACAAAAAAAAAAAACTTAAGCTAGACACTAACGAGTGATTTATAAATGCTAACTCGGGAATTAAGCTGTAAAGTGATACTTTTCAGGGGACCGCATTTGAAAAACCTTGACTTCTCCAGCAGCGCCCTTCATCCTCTGCCCCCTCTGCTTTGGAGGTCTCCTCTTAAGCATCCCCACCTGTGCTGCCCCTCTTCTCTTCAGTTCCTCTAACAACGCAGTTTTCTAGCTCTTGAAAAAGGTTTCCACTTATCTCTGCAACACCCTTTGGCTACGCTTCTTTCTATTGCCTTCCCTTCCCTGCCAGACTTTCAAATAAGCATCTAAGAAAATTGCCTCTATTTTCTCTTTTTTTCACTTTCTGCTTAACCACTGACAATGCGGGGTGTCATCATCATGCTTTAGCTCTCCAGTCCCTACTAATACCCTTCTTATTAGAAAATGTAGAGGCTCTTTTTCTGTTCTCCTGCCGTCTCTATCACCATGGAGCATATTGATGCCATTTCCTCCCTGAGAATGATGTCTTGAGTAATTGAATTGTTAGAACTTCAGCAATGGAAGGCGCAGTTAGTCCAACCCCTTTCATTTTACATCTGGGGGGCACTGAGAACGAAAAAGGTTGGAGGATTGGCCCAGCAAGGTGCAATGGTGTAAGAACTGGGCTTTGAAGCCAGGGCTTCTGACCTTCCGTCCAGTATGAGAACTGGTTTTGATAAGCCTTTGTCTGAAAACTTCACAGTGTTCCTAATTTTTATTTCTTCTCATATAAAGATGTCCCTGCGGGTCTCCTAGCTCCTTCTCTGCACAGCCCATTCTCCATGATGGCAGTCAGGATGTTCCTAAAATGTAAACCAGAACCTGTCACTTCCCTGATTAGCCTCCAATTCTTCTCTACTGCAGTTAGAATAGAGTCCAAACCTCTTTTCATGCCCTGCAAGACCTTTCATATTCCAGTTCTCTCTCTCTGGTCACATTTCCTGCTAGACTTGCTCCTACAATGACTCTGCTCCCTTACACGGACTCCCTCCCAGCTCACCAGCAAGGAAAGCTTAGCCCTGCCTCTGGGCACTGGTTTTGCTCTAACTTGTTTGGAATACTTTTATCCCAGGCCATTGCTTGACTGCTTCCTCCTCATCATTTGGTCTCTGCTCAAATGGCCACTTCCTCTTACACTGATTCACCTTACGCTGACATCCCCATAATCTAACATTTTCTTTAGACACATCGCTGACCATTGCATCATGCTGTTTTATCTTCTTCATAGCATTTACCACTAGCTACAATTACATAACTTCCTGATTTGACTTGGAGTTTAGCAGGTTTCCCATCATTAGAATATAAACTTATAGAATACAGAAATTTTGTCTTGTTTGCCATATCTTCAGCACCCAGAACAGCAAATGGCCAGGAGTTCACACTCAATAAACTTTTGTAGGATGAACAAATCAATGAATGGTGTCTGAATTTTTATTTCTCATTTCCCAGAATCTTTTCTCTTTTATTCTACAATCCTGTACTCAACTAGTGTACTGTCATCAAACTGGTTTTCTCATAAACCAATAAGGACAAAACTTATTCCTCACTGGGAGCCTTTGTTTCAGTTTTCTCTTCAACCCCAAATCCCACTGTTTGTTTCTTTAACTATTCAAGTTGTATTACTGTGTCAAAGCGTAAGTCATGTTACATTTCCATGAAATCACATCCCACAGTCCCCATTGATCACCCGTTTTTCAAACTATGTAAAATCACCCATGCATGTTATGCAATCTAAACGCTCACATATAATCTATATCATCTTGAATTGTTTCCAGTTGTTTTATATAATAACATTTAGGCACTGTGCCTAGACACTTCAAGTGTGTGTGCATATGTGTGTGTGCATGTACAGTCAATCCTATTTTTGGATTTTGTATTTCTGAATTCACCTACTCCCTAAAATTTGTTTACAATCGAATTGTGCGGTGCTTTGATGATAAATCACGGATATTCACAGGTTAGTGAAAACCTTGAGGCACCTGACACATATGTTCCCAGCTGAGGTAAAACAAGGCACCACTCTGATTTCTTGTTTTTGACCTCCTACTGTAAACAAGTGTCCTTTTGTGTTCTATTTAGTGCCATGCTTTTCATATTTTATGCTTTTTATTAGTGATTTCAGTGTTTAAAATGGCCTTCAAGCATATTGCTGAAATGCTGTCTAGTGTTCCTAAGGGTAAGAAGGCTGTGATGTGCCTTATGGAGAAAACAGGTGTTAGATAACTTTGTTCAGGTATGCATTACAGGACTGTAGGCTATTAGTTCAATGTTAATGAATTAATAATGACATTGTTAATTGATGTACTATATTATATTAAATAACGTGTCTTTAAATAGAAGCACTCATAAAACAAGATTGTGTATTGATTAGTGATGGAAATGTTGCCTACAGGAACCTAACCCTGTATTTCCCCTAGGAGCAGTATTTGCTAATTCAGTGTTCATGACAACTTTATAGAACAGAATTACCAGAAATAATGAGAATTGATTGTCTATATGTGTATACTGTATTTGTTGGCATTAACCTCACTTAGGTATTTAGAAGACAAAGAAACCAAGAGTTATTGAAATTTAGTAGTTTGCCCAAGATACTTGCTAAGCCGGTAAATGGTAGATCTGGAACCTGGCTGTATTACTCTGAAGTCTTTTGGCTTCTCATTCGCCACACCAGTGACTCTTGTTTGTTTTAATTAGTTGTAGAGCCCTAATTACTAGAAGAGAGGGAGGGAGGAAGAGAGTGAAAATACAAGTGGAATTGGCTGAAAGAGCAGTGAAAAACCATAATTTATACAGAAAAATAGATGTAGATGATATTTTTTAAAAAACAACTTGCTTTATAGTCCCAGTTTAAGGTTTAATTACAGTCTCAAATCTTCATTTCCAAGTTGACTTGGCAACTCTACATATTTCATGTTCCTTATCATGAAATGAAAGTATGACAAGTAACCAGATCTTAAGGAATCAAAACCATAAAAATACTGTCATGACCTAGATTTTTGTCCTGCCCTGAGGATGTCCACCTTAAACTTGCATGACATTTATCTGAGCTGAAATCATCCGTGATATGGAAGTGAACACATCTGCATGTTATATCTGGTTAGACATGCCAAGGCCTGATTTCGTAAAGAGCTGTCACCCTCCTAATCAATTGTGCATTTCTATAGAGAGATGACAGGAGAAATTATAGCTTGAAATTTATATAAATTTATATAAAACAGATTAACATGGGTTAAGTTATTATGTGGTCTCCAGGTGTATGTATGTATGTATGTATCTATCAATGCATATTAATACATATGTACATACGTATTAAGACCTATTTTTACATACTTCATAATTTACTTTCAAAAAATAAGTTAAACATTTTTAGAAGCACTTTTGTGAACACAGTTTGAAAAACCGACTTTTCCCCCTCTAAGTAGATTTTATAAGGGCCTAAAGATGAAGATTCCTAGCTTTTTTGCTTCCTATTGGCAAATGATCTGAGTTAATGCTAAGTATAAAGAAGTCTCTCACCATTGATAATCCAATTTAGCCCACATGGTTGACAACCAGTTGTATTAAGACAACAATTTCTGCAGTGTCTGGGTTAGAATTCAATAATGTGATGGAATGATGTCACTTGGTTCTGTCGCATAAGGGTCTTAATATGTGTACAGAATGGATGAGGTTTTTTTTCATATGATACTCTCTTGACATTTCTTTTTCACTTGAAAACAAGAGGCAATCATAAGGCTCAAATTAACACTTCTCAACTTCCAAAAGCTGCCAGAGATAAGGTTGAGTGAGGAGCTTCCAACAGGGAAGAAAGACAAGATAACGACATTTTGTCTGCCTCAAGGCTATACTACAAATCCTGGAGTGTTAGAAAAGGAACTAAAGGGTCCTTAAGAGCTGTGTCATCAAGCCAAAGGAACTAATTGGTTTCAACTTAGAATTCCGAAATCACTCTCATTTCAGTATTTCATAATATTTTATTTTCTCTTAGAATAATTAAATAGTTGCATGTCCAGTGACTTTAATGATCCTCTTTTGGGGAGCTAAGCTCTTCACAAATCAAGGTATCAAGGTTGATTTGTTGAATTTGTTGATTTGTTGTTGAATTCCATGGTGCAGATAAAAATGGATTACCCCCATGATTCCACCTAAGGTTTTGTTGGCTGGGTCAGCTTCTCCAACAGGGCAGAGTTCGGCGTTCAGAGGTATTGGCCCAATGGCTTTGTCTTGCCAGCATTCATTAATTTATCTATTGTGTTTTACTAATATAACACCACTGAGAATTTGTTTAGCAAAATCTTCTCTACCTCAGCCTCCAAAAGAACATAAAAGCAATAGAGAGGTTCCAGACTTTTCAGCCTTATACTCTTGCTTATTTTTCAGGGGAGATTATTGAAAACAGTAATTCTTTCTCGCTTCAGGAAAAACTGTCAGAGGAAGAGAGAAAACACAAGGAAACTTTGGACGGTCTTCACATGGTGGTGGACGAGGACTCGAGGAGTGAAAGCAGCAGTGCAGACGAGGGGAAAGAAAACATCAAATTCCTGTTGGAAAGATTGAAGGCTCTAGAGGTAAGAAATGAAACAATTTTTACATGTTTAAAGAAAAATGACAGTGCTTTCCTTCTTTTATTGACATTGGTTTTGAGTGAGTATCAGTCTTCCTTTCTCAGTTCTAGACGAATAGGATCCCTAGTATCTCCCATTGTGATTCATTTGTCACTGATGAGCAAAAAGTTAAAATTTGTAGCCCTGAGAGTCTTGGCCTCATGATTCTGATTGCAATGCCTTAGAAGGCGTACATAGGACAGTAATTCATTTTAAATTCAGTTCGGCCTTCAAACTGGATCAGGACTCCTAAAATTGTATGCTCCGTGAGGAAAGGTGCTGTGTGGTATTTCACTTTGCTTTCCCTAATATATAATATAAGGAATAATTGAGCAAATGAATAAATAAAACTATCCAGTACTATATAAAGATGACTGCAGGAAAAAAATCAAATTTTTAAGTAGTCTAAGCATTTCTTTAAAAAAAAAAAAAAATCTGTGCAGAAGTTCGACATGTAAAACAGGTAGAAGTGAAGCTGAGCTAAGGGCACTTTAAGGAGGATCTGGAGCTACCACAACCCTCCAGGACAATCTGAAACCACTGGTCTCTTACTGAGTGGCCTTTGGCATCACTGCACATGCTAATTCCTCAATGCTTATAGCAGTCCTCAGAGAACATTCCAGTTATTAGATCTTGATCATGCTGAAAGACTCAGTGAAGGTGGCTTTATCTACAAATTGGCTTAGCACCTCGAACAGGGACATAGTTACTTTTAAGCCTGACTATGGTGAGCCCATTTCATCTTAACTAGGTGAAGACACAAGATCCAGTGAGGTCTTGTTTTCTATGCTTGGTTACTGCAGTTCTACCTCCAATCCACCATGTTGTCTATAGTGAGCACACCCTTTCTAAACTAATTTCCTCAGCCAAGTTAAAGCAAAAGAGTTCAGATTATGGACTTTGGAGCCAGATTCCCAGGGTTTTGTTTGAATCCCAGTTCTGCTCCTTTCTAGTTTTGAAACCTTCGGTCCGTTCACTAGGCTCTGTGCTTCTGTTCACTCAACTGCAAACATGGGGATTGTAATAGTAAGCTACCTTCCAGGGCATTGATGCCGATGAAATGAGTTAATATTTGTGTGTTGGTACCTGGTACATGGCTTCCTCCATGCACCCACTCCAAGGCTCCTGACTTTGTTATATCATTTTTTTTCTATCTCTCTTGATTTAGCAATTAATACAAGAACTATGAGTGGGAAAACTGAGCTACTCCACACATGGGTGACAGGATGGACAGACAGGTTGAGCAAGTGATACCAAACATGGGGCAGAAGAGAAGTCAACTTAGGGAATGTCTGGCAGCCCCATGGGGCACACAGCCAGGAATCCTCCTTGTCTCCCCAGAGCTTCTCACACTTGTGTCGTTTTTAAGAAAGTCACTGAGGAAGGTGGGAAAGCCTTCTCAAGGGAGACTGAGGTTGCGGTCTGAGAGCTTTGAGAAAGTCATAGCTTCGTCTAGAGTTTGAATTACCTGGATTTAATAGTAGAAATTTAGTTGCTACTACAATTTCTTATTTCCCTAGAACTGTGTACTTAAATTGTTAGTTTTATTCCTAATTACAGTGACTCTAGCTCTTAGTTCATCTAATTGTCACTGAGACAGCTTTATGAAGGACATTTCATTTAATCAAGCAAAGAGGTATTTTAAAAATATCTTTGGCAGGAAATGTTTCTTAACCCCTCACTGAGTAAAAGAGAAGCAGTATTTTTTTTTCTTTCACAGAGGTCTTTATACTTCAGGCAACAACTCTTGCGTCCAGCAGTAGTTGGATGCAATAGATGATATCTCTAAGTGCCATTAATCCCTGCAATTTTAATTCACAAAAACATTTTATTTTCTAAATTAATTTCTTCTGGTCAGTGTCACTGCTGGTTTCCTAAAAGTCTTTGCTCAATATTAAGTAAACTCTCTCCTTACCCACAATTCTCACTACTACCCATTTGAACTTGATCTTTAGTTAGCTGTTTCCTCCAAGTCCTTCAGCTGCAGGGCATTTCTCCCTTGCCTGTTTCTGCAGCTCTGTTCCCAGCCTGACAAGAGAACATGGCCAGCTTGTTCTCACATGCTACGTCTCCCTCCACAGGGTTATGCGGGGCTCTGTACTCGGTCCCTGCACTCCACTCATGGCCTCATTCCATACTGCCCCAGAGCTCATCAAGGTATTTTGCTAAATAAAACATTTACCTTCCAAAAACAGCCCAGGGCCAGCAATCAAAATAATAATTAATATTCTCTCTCTCTCCATCTCTCCCCGCCCTCCTCTCTCTTTTGTCTGAGCAATTGGCCGCTACTCTCCCTGGGCCTAAATTGTAAGATTTGTTTAGGGTCCTGGTGTCTGGCAGAGGGGCTGTTTGCTGTATTTTATATCTGTGCCATACGAGCCACACGGGTGGTAAAGATGCCACTTGCACATTTTCTGTTGCCTTTTAAGTGCCAGGTGTAGTGTTTTCTATGTTTTCTAAAAAATTCTCATTTTCAAGACTTGGGTTTAAGAGACTGCTTACTCAACTTAGGATCAAACTCAGTATTTTCAACAGCTCTGCCCTGTCACAGTCTCTGTCTATCAAATGCCACCCCTCTCTCCTACCCCATCCACGACCACTGAGTCAAGGGATTTTCCCAGACTTGACCTCCACAATCCATTGACTTGACTTTGTGTCTGCCCTGGATTTTGGCCTCAGGCCCCGGATCTGCTTATGGGCATGTTCCTTAAAATACATGATTTGCTTGTCTCAGGCCTCCCTCTGTCCATTCCCACTTGCCCTTTCTAAGCACTCATTGACCAGCTTCACACCTGACTAGAAATCATGCTGGACATGCCTTTTGCTCAGTCTCAACTCCCACGGCATCTCTGATTCCCAGACTCTAGCCAGGGGGAGAGCAAGCCTGAGACAACCTGGGAGTTCTGAGCCTTCAGGTAAGTGCTGATGCCTTAGCTATAGCCTCAAGGTCAGAGGAACTTGGCTTCTTATACAAAAGATTTATTTTGTGCAGAAAAACATGGCAATTAAATGTGCTAAAGTGAACAACAGCGTTTTCTACTTAGTTATACCTTTCCATGAAAGTATGACAATTAAAGTGCTAAGCATAAGCATTTTTGTTAATCAGTAATTCCTATTTAAAATGAGGTAGTTTAAAATAGTAATTCTCAAAGCTTTCTGCACATCACAATTATATGTTGAGTTCATATTCAAATAGATATTTATTGAATACTTTCTCTGGGCCAAATACTAGGAGTAGATCAATTCTCATGGTCCAAAACCCCAGTGAACAGAGATAGAAACTACACACTTAAATAATAAATAAGCAAGCAAACAAACAAATAGACAAATGAGTGCCTCTGAATAAGAAAATCCAGGTGATAATAGTCATCGAGAGAGTAGGGGGTGGAAATGAGAGACTTATTTACATACAATGGTGGCTGATTACCAGGCCATTTGGGTGCAGTATAAATAACACAAGGGAGGGGCACCTGTGTGGCTCAGTTGGTTAAGAATCTTCCTTCTGCTCTGGTCATGGTCTTGGGGTCCTGGGATCGAGCCCATAGTCAGGTTCCCTGCTCATGGGGGGAGTCTGCTTCTCCCTTTCCCTCTGTCCCTCCGCACCCCGGCTCCTCTTCCTGGGCACTCTCTCTCTCTCTTTCTCTCTCAAGTAAATGAATAAAATCTTTAAAAATAAATAAATAACACAAGGGAGACAGCTGTATGAAGATCTGGACAAAGGACAAGGAGAAACTGCAAGTGGGGAAGCCTAGATATATGGTGGAAATGTTGGCAAGTTAGAGGAACAGAAGAAAGAAATTTGCCCTGGAACACAAGTATAAGGTTAAAAAAATGGGAAGAAGATAAAGTCAGAGGGGGTAGACAAGGGTCAGACCCTTTAAAGCCTTATAGGCCACAGTCACAGTAAAGACTTTGAATATAATTATACATTTAAAGGGAAGCCATTAGAGATTGTTTACTAGGGAAGTAACATGGTCCAGCTTGTGCTTTAGAAAGACAACTTTTGCAGTTTGGTGGTCTAATAGCAGGACAGGAAGTCTAGGCAGGAGATTCTTTTAGATTCCAGATGGAAGTTGTTAGTAGACTAGTCTAGAGCAGGTGACTAGGACTAACAGGAAATAATAATATATAATAATATCATTAGACTAGTGGACTAGAGGGGAATAATGATGATGACAGTGGTGACAAGCCCTGACATAGATCTTAGTATGTTTGAGCACTGTTCCAGTTTATCTTTCTATACATGTACACATATACACACTATTTTAATCGCTGTAATAACCATGTGGGGGGAGGGGAGATATGATTATCTCCATTTTACAGATGAGGAAACTGAGCCCCCAAAAGTTGGGTAAGTTGCCCAAGGTTATGTAGTCAGTAAGTGTGAGACTCAGAATTTGAACTCCACTATGGTTCCATTATGCTGTGCTGATAAGAAATGATCAATTGAGTATGTGTTGTAGAAGTAAAACCTATTGGAATTACTGAAGGATTGGATGTGGAATGTATGAGAAAATAAGAAATCAAGAGTGACTTTTAGGTTTTCAGCCTTAGCAACTGAGTTACAGCAGATTTCTGAGAAAGGCCAGCCTCAGAGCAGAGGGGACTTGGGGGAAGGAATATACAATCATCAGTTTATTTTGTCCATGTGAAGTTGAGATTCCTACTAAACATTCAAGTGACGATGTTTGGTAGGCCTTTGGATATCCAAGGCCAAGGTCAGGGCAAGAGATATGGATTTCAGAGTCATCAGCATATAGATGGCATTCGACGTTGTGGGACTTAGTAAAACCAGAAGTAAGTGTAAATGTGGACCATAAGAGGGCAGAGGACAGACCCCTGCACTGCCCCGCCATTAGAGGTCCAGCAGAGGAAGGAGAGCCAGCCAGTGAGCCTGGGAAATAGTCTTCATGAGGTGGAAGGAAAATCAGCAAGGTGAGGTGTCATAGAAATCTAAAGAAGAA